CTTCTTTTACAACAAGCAGTGATATATAAAAGTAAATAAAAAAAACATAAACTCAGAAAAACCTAAACTAAAAGTGACTACTTTTATGAAAAATTGTAATTGGTTATTGCATATTGGGACATTTATGAACAAAAATATTTTTGTTGTATTGAGAGGATTCTCTTGTATAAAATTAAGAGATTATTTATGTTTAAATAATTTTCAGTCAAAATCTTTATAATGTATGTCCAAATCAGGTAATTAAAGCTTTTTGTCGCCCTCTAGCGGTGGTTGGTAAAAACACCCGAGGGGAAGTACAACAGATCTCAGATTCAGAGGGGCACAGTTTGCACCCCCCAGCTTCCCTGACACTAAGTGGAAGAGAAATCAACAGTTTTATGACAAGATGCAAACACTCCAAGCCTGATGCAAAACCACATTTAGACAACATTTTTATTATATCTTTAAAGTTTACCTGGAGAAATATTATGGAGGTTGTCTAGTATTTCAATCAAATAATGTGTAAACTCCTTCATAACAAGGAAATCACATAATTCCCTGCCTGAATTGACATTAAATCTCAAATAACATTGCAACATTGTAGAAAAAAACTCCTGCACAATGGTTCTATTTTAATTTTTTTACATGTAACCTATTACTCTTTATATTTCATTAGTTGGCCTATATCACACAATCCCTCTATCTCAATTGCAGCTGTTTTATTTATCTCCTACAGTAATACAGTATTGTAGGAAATAAATAAATATGACTAAATATAAAAAAAAAACTGTAATAAATAGTTGGTGAAAATATTCACTATAGCTTAGACAGGTTTTTGATAATTTACAAAAGCAAAAATGTTGATCAAATACTCAATAATTAGCTGCCACAGATCATGGAGGACAACAGCTGCTGAGAAAGAGCTTTAAAATGATGAACGCTGGGGTAATAAACAGAAACTCACAAATATGAGGTTGTTTATGATGGGATGTTTGGAGCAGAGAGATGACCGTGAGGACAGACGGTGTGGGGGGAGACAACCCGCGGACAGCCCACGGAGGATGGGCGGAGCAGTAAGCATGCGCTGAGGTGGCAGCAGGCTCTGGGCTGGTCCTGACGGGCTGGCTGCGCTCCGGGCGGATGTCTGTGCGCGTCAGACGGCAGTGGGGGAGACAGCCATCCGCACCCAGCGTCTCCTCGACTGCTTAGCAGGGGAGGAAAAAGTCAAACAGCTCTGGAAGAAATCCGCGGATAACAGAACGAGAAGCGATCAAACTGGCGCATCTGCGTCTGGACCGAAGAAGGAGAGGGTCCTTCCCATCCAGCCCACACCCCGTCGCCAACCCGCCCTGTCTTTTCTATCCACCACTTGGTGCCATCCCTCTGCTCTGAACTGCCCTCCCATGGGAGAACCACGACCACCCATAGGAAACCCCCCCTCACTTGACCAGCGTTGCCGCTGAGCGATGCGCTTCGAATCCTGCAAGAAATCACCTTTTTGCGCTTTTGGTGCACAACGAGCAGTCTGCACTGCTCCTCCGCGGGAACACTTGGGGCTGTGGATTCAGGTGCGTTCACTTTCTGACCAGTGGAGATAAAACATGCAACAGGACCATCCTGCGACAACACAAGGCTGTCATTGTGTGGATTAGTCTTCATTTGAACGAGCGGCTGTCACACGCGCCGGCTTTGAGCTTATATGTTGGATTTGTCCAAGAGTAGAAGCGACAATGGTCCGGGAACAGACCGCTTCCACAGAGACATAGTAGCTGTTTTTATATTTGAAGAAAAGGCGACAGATCGACGAGGAGTCATTTCGCACCTTTGAGCAGAAGGAGCTGAGAAGTTTCTCCGCGTGGACCGAACCGGAGCCTCCTCGGCCACATCCACATCTCCCCTGTAAGGTAAGCCCGAGGCAACGCTTCCTTGTTCCCTTGTGCACACTGGCTGTCCACGCTGGTAAGATCCTTTCTTCTGCAATGTGAGGAACTCGAGTTCAAACAGGCAGTGACCCATTTTCAGAGGCTCTCCAACAAAACCAGCTCGGGTCCAAGGCCGGAGCTGGTCGGACCATTTCCACTGCACCCACTGCAGCACGGGGATGACCTTTTCCCACATGTCCACATCCTCCCTCTTCAGCATCCACTCCCTTAACCCCGAGAGACATTTTTGGAGCAGAGTCACAAATCCTGCCCTACATAGATCAGTGGTGCACGTCACAGCCCTGCCAGCTGTTGTGCACAGTGTGGGGAAGCTCTCTGATCTGATGGAGTCCAACCTCTGCAGACTGCCATTGAAGTTTAGTTCAACAAAGAGGTCAACTTCCACATCCTTCATTTTTAAACTGTATTAAGACGTGATTTCATGTTTGAGTGTTTACACGGTCCTGATGAGAATGGCAGATTTAAGCTTAACAAGACTAATTCCTAAATACTAATAAATGATCAGGACTGATTGGTGACGACGTTATTGATTTCGTCCTGCTCATTCTGAGTGGGTGCAAGGATGAGCACAGACAGAGAACCATTTTCCTCCAATTAAGCAATGCACTGTCCCTAAGCTTAATTGTGTGCACACTGGGATTGGGTTTGTGATGGACCTTCTCTCCATTGGCTGCCTCTCATGAGCCCATTATTCCAGGGGGGACTTGTGTCCTGCCAGGGCAGATCTAATAAGGCCTGTGGTGGAGGGGGGAAAGGCCTGATCATTAAAAACAAATGGGCTGTGCAGATCGAGGCTCGCTTGACGTGGTGGCAGTTAGGATCAGAATCATTGCATGTTTCCAAGGTGAGTGTGTGCAGCAGACTCATGGAAATAAGTGTCAAATATTGTGTGGAGGGTTCTTGATTTTTTTTGCAAATTGTGGAAGAGGAGCTACAGAGTTCCTTCTTGCGGGCTTCCTGTTTATTAAAAAATGGACAATTCTGCTACAACCCTGTAGCTCACAATTTAGATTTAATTGTTTAAGCAAGAAGCGCTTCTACATTTTATTTTGGGTGTACAAGTTCTTCTACGGGTTGTTAAATATGAGTTTATTTAAGCTAAGCCTGGACTGCATTTATAAATTAAAAATACACACAGGCAGTAATACAAAAATAATAAAATCTGTGTTGTATATCGGACATGGGCGTTACCTCCAAAGACCATCAGCCATAAGAAAACTCGTATCAGCTGACCATTATCACCATCAACAATAATTTTTGCAGTCAAAGTCACAACGTTGAGTTTTTAATCGCTGCAGAAAAAAAGTGCTAATTTGTACCGATAAGCCAACTGCTTGCATCTGTCCCGTCCTTTCAACCCTCAGCAGCTGAGACAGATGTCCACCCTTCCTGAGTCTGGTTCTGCTGGATGTCTTTTCCTGTTAAAAGGGAGGTCTTTCCTCTCCAGTGTTGCCCACCACTCCGGGTTGAACTGTTCTAATTCATGCACCAGTGGACAAAGACTTTCCACCATCAGTCTCTGAAATAAAATCTTGGGTGTTGTTGTTACCCCCTCTTCAATTTTCCATTTGCCTTTGAGATTGAGCCCCACACTGCAACTCGTGTGACATCATTCAGCTGAGCTCCAAAACTGTTATAAAAGCAGCTGTTGTATGTGAAAAGGTGGACTCACAGCGTTTCCCTGCACCAGAGAGCAACCGAGAGGCCTGTGGTATAGGAGGATGGTGGGAAACCACCATGCACTTGTGCTTAATAATTCAAGGCAGACTAATAACAGCGTACCACATGTGGGGCAAACACATTGTGCAGTTCAAATCTAAAACTCATTTTGACAAGTTCTTTCACACAGTGCAGCACGAGGCCACGGAGCTTCTGTATGTTTACCACTTGAGGAGAAAGACTGGAAGTGAGTGAGATGTTAAAGCAGTGGAGCTAGTTTGAGTGTTTGAATTAATATCTCAGCGGGGTGTCGTAGCCGCTGTGGATTATGGTCAAGCTAAAAGGCAAGTGAGCAGCAGGGGAGGCAGGATTACAGCGGTCAGTGAATGAGGCAGCTTGCTGTGAAAACAGGGCACCTGATGCACACTTGCATTAATCTTCACATGGGGTAGATTCCCACGGCCGGTCCACTTCTTGTGCTTGCACTTGCAAATGGTCATTGCTATAGAAAGCTTTGAGAAATGAAATACAACCACTGTGGTCACTTGACCAATGTTTGGTCCGAGTCTTTAGAGGTCGTGCATTGCATTTCCCAATGAAGCCATCTGTCTTAATGGAAGTCGTACAGAGGTTTATGGCCCTTTGTGGATAAAGGTTTAAACAATTCTGCTCAGTTGGAGATGAGTCACTATTCTTGTGTGTGCACAAACGATATCCGTGTTCGTCACTGAAACATGTGTAGCATAAGGTCAAAATAACATCATTCAGGTGTTTATAGGTACTTCCCCTGCTTTCTTTGGAGCTAATGTGAAGATGAATGGAAACTCATGATTGCTTCCTTTGTGACTGCTGAACAAGAGTAAATTGCACAGCACAAACATGACTCAACTAATGTTCAGATAAAATGGAGCTGATTCAAGCTGAATTTAAGTCAAACGTGAAAATGACGGTAAATGACTGCTTTTATATCATTGTGTTCCAGTACTTTACATTTTTACCATGAAGGCTTTGTAATTGTTGCCATGCGTCGAAGGATTAACAGAGTCCTATTTAGGAACCCTGAGTGATGCTGCTGGATTATTATCAGATTTCTAGGCGCACACATTAAGAACAGACTTGACTCACGCTAACTTGCAAAGTGACAGACACCAAAGCATACCTCTGTGTTGCCTGGCTGGCGTGTCTCACACACGGTGCATTTTTCTCCAGTTAAACTGTAACCACTAATCACCTCACAGCCTTGCTGCTTCCTGTCGTCGCGCACCATTCCCGGGTCTCCAGGGAGGGTTAAACTGGTCCCCATGGGAATACAGGCTCTACCTCTTTTCCTCAGATCAGCTGTGTGGGACATCCTGAACGAGCGCAGGGGTTTTGCTCCTTTATGACAAAGATCAGGAGTCAGTTCCTCTGCTGCGAGCCTTCAGGTCTGCATTTCCAAAATAAACACAGACAGCTCAGTACTTCGCTCCAACTACCCCACCCTGCCTTGTTTCACTCGCTCTAAAGCACCTTCTGCTCCGTGTTTCTCTCATGAGGGAATTTCAGCTCTCAAACTTTCTCAGACACTGTATGCACCTTGTATTTGTCTGGACAGTGAAGGGGGGAAAAAAAAGCAGAATAAAACTAAGACATAAAAGCACAACATCTGTGTAAATGAGCTGGTATAAAAGTATGTTTTTAGATCGATTCTACACCATATTTAATATTTAACAGAGTAGAAGTAGATTCAGTTTGATCTTCTTTTGTATTTCAGTTTAGTGAGCTGTGAGTTCTGCAGAGAAATTGTCTCACGTCTGGTTTGTTTTGTTATTGACATGCTTTTTTTTTTTTTTTAGCACCTTTGCTTCTCTCGGATGCCCTGAGTGTTACAGCTGCATGGGACAGCTGAGATGTGTATGATTATTAAAATAATAATAATAATAAGAAGAAGAAGATGAGGAGAAGCTATGTGAAGCATGGGTGAAGAATGGCAGAGGCAGAGCAGTTGATGTGTTATAGAAGCATATGAGGGAGAGAAGGGTGAGGCATAAGACTCTCAAGTCTGGGCCTGGACCTGGTTCCCTGTCTGGGCATATCCAGTCCTGTCAGTTTCACATTTTGCCCCCTTCACCCCCTCCTTCCACTCTTTCCCCCCTCACCCATAACTTTCTAGGACGTCATCTCCTCTGTGGATAATTTCACTTCTGTCCTCTCTTTCCCTCTTTATCTGCTTTGAACCTTCATCTTTCCAAGAGCCTTTTAAGCTTCATAAAAAACAAACATCGTATCCAAATGAATCTTTTTATGTGTGCTGAAAAAACAGAGGGACTGGGAAAAAAAGCTTTGGTCTGTGAGTGTTTACCTTCGCTGTGGTGGTTTGGAGATGTTGCCAGCACTAATTTAATTCATGTGTACTGGCTTAGTCTCCCCCACTTTTTGTGTTTTGCAAAAGAGCCTTATGTAATTGGGAAATGCTTTAGGTTTGAGGTTTGATTTTAAGACATGTTTTGACCTAAGCTGCTCCTAAATAGCCTCACTGTTTTCATTCGATTGCTAAAATAAGTTAGCTTTCAGAAACGGCCTTGAAAATGGCCTGCTGCTGTCTCAAAGCTGTATCGCTGCTGCTGGTTCTCCTGAGTTTCACTGAAAGTCAAAGTGAGCTATTCTTTATTGAGTTCTAGATGTCAGTAGTGATTTAGGATAGAATAATGTTAGAGGATGAGTAAACTTACTGTTCAGAAAGGTATAGATTCATGATTCTCAATCTGTGGTACAAGTACCCAGTACTAATATTCAGGAGCCTCTAGGGTCTGCAGAAGGAATTTTGCTAAGATCAATTTGTAGGTTAAATAACAAGTTGATTAATGGCTGAGCTGTGATGCAAGTTAAAAAGCTGAGATGGCCATAAAGACTAGCTGCCTTAGCACACTACAAATATTGCTCCAAATGAAACAACTTGAAACAAAACAAGAAAAATCCTTTTGGAAGCTGGAGTGGATGATGGTTCCTTCAGCAGCATTCATTGCACCTATAGGTGTCAGGACCAGATCTACTAACAACAAAAAGGACAAAACGTGACGACATTGGTCTCAAGTTGTTGCGAATTTGTATTTAGTTGTTCTGGGGGAAAGGATGTGGGCAAACCACAGTAAAAAGTACGTGACATCATGTCGTGGTTGATTATTCAAAACTGAAAATAAGCTTCCACTATTGTGCTTTAATGTCTGCCATAATTATAGTTCTTAGAATGCTATTTCTTTTTGTTTTAGGTAGTTCAAAAAGTTTCATAATCACTGGTTTAGATTTTTAGAAATGGGGTTCTG